AGTCCCCTGGACCCCTCAACTGCCTCACCCTGGGGGCAGCACAGCCAGGTCCTGCTGTCCCCAGGACAGCACTGGGTCTAGGCTGCTCCCTGTGGCTGCAGGCCGCCGCCTCCTCTGCAGGAGGGAGCATGGCAACATCCTGGAATGCAGTCTGTTTTCTTGCTCAGCGGTAGGGTCTCGAAGCTGCCAGACCCTCCCTCCCTCCTCCTGCCCATCTAGGCGGGCCGCCCAGCACTGGGGCCTGATGCACAGCCTGAGGGGAGGTGGGCCGGCCTGCACCCTCCTGGGCTCAGCAGCTGCTGGGCGTGACCAGCAGTGTGACACTGGCCAAGCCCGCAGGCAGGTCCACGCAGATCCCACTGCACCTGGGACAGCAGTGGCCCAACAGCACCCGCTCTGGGCCTGGACGTGGCTGCGTGGCTCCTGCTCAGTTTCACCGAATGTGGCTGTCTGCGCCCCACCCCCACCCCCAGCAATGCCCAGCTGCGATCTGGATCCACGCCTGTGAAGTCTGCGCTGCAGGGAGCCCCAAGGGAGGGCCTGCCTTCCTCAGGGCCTTGCTGGCAAGACAGAGGCTGTCATGGGGCCACATCCAAATCCTAACCCTGGTACCCGTGCCCTGGTTTGGAAATAGGTTCTTTGCAGAGGTTATCAGTTAGGTTAACATGACGTCACACTGAAGGAGTCAATGCTATTGTTGCCCTGGGGTCTATTCCGGCTCACAGCACCCCTAGAGGACAGAGTGGAACTGCCCCACAGGGTTTCTGCAGGCACTCTGGTGGCACAGTACCTGAGGCACTTAGCTGCTAATGAGAAGGTTGGTGCTTCAAGCCCACCAGCTGCTCTGGAGAAGAAAGATGGGCAGTCTACTTTCACAGAGTTACTACCTTGGAGACTCATGGGGTTGCTGTGAGGTAGGGGCTACACAGTCACCAGGGTGATGGAAATTTCCATTCAGTGAGCGTCTGCCGGAAGGTGCAAACACTTATTCCCCACCCACCCTGTTTCTCTGTGAAGGGACATCTCCAGAGCAACACCCCTGGCCCTTCTGCCCCTCTCAGAAGGAGACACGAATGTTCTGATTGGGGAGCTTGGGAGAAGGGCCGGGTGTTGCAATGGCCCAGTCAGCAAAGCCTCTTTGTCCCTGTAAGCCTAAGACTCTCCCCGATCCAGAGACACATGAGGGCCTGGCCTGGGGAAACCCCTCCTACCCTCTTAGGCAGCACCAAGAGGGACCAGGGCGAGCCCCAGGGACACCAGATCAACCAAGCAGACCAAAATAACACGCACAACAACTAAAAATTAAGCATCCATTAGAACCACAGCCCACAAAAGTCATTCTAAACCCAAGTGCTAACCCTAAACAGAGTGACTGCCTGTCAAAATAACAGATCTAAATAGAACCTGGAACCCTCAACACAGTAGCCAACATTTCCAGGACACAACTGAATATCAAGCACCATCAAGAAGCAGGAAAATCTCAGCGTGAAGGAGCAAGAGCAACGACCAATGGCAACGCTGAGTTGAATCGGATGCTGGGATTATCAGACGAGAAGCCGAAGCAACAATTGATGCCAACACTGAGTTGAATCGGATGCTGGGATTATCAGACGAGAAGTTAAAGTGACTATGATGAAAAACACTTCAGCAATCAATTACTAATGATCTTGAGACAAATGGGAACAAAACTGGAAAATTTCAGCAAAGAAACAGAAGTTAAAAAAAAGAACCAGATGAAAATTATAGAACTGAACATGCAATAACAGAAATTTTTAAAACTCGGTAGATGGCCTTAATAGTAAGGTGAGATGACACAGAGCAAAACTGATGGACATGAGGACAGAAATACAGAAGTCATCCGATCTGAACAACAGAGAGAAATAGACTGGACAAAAAAAAAAAAAAAAAAGGACAGCACCTCAAGGACAATCAGAAAGACCAACATTCATACTATCAGAGTCCCTGAAGGAGAGGAGGGTAGAAGTGGGACTGAGAGTGTTTGAAGAAATAATAGCTGAAAACTCCCCAAATTTGGCAAAACACACAAACCTACAAACTCAAGAAGTTGAGTCAATCCCAAAGAGGATAAATCCAAACGAATCCCCACCAAGATACACCACAATTAAACTTTTGAAAATTAAGAACAAAGGCGGCATCGTGGAAGTAGCCAAGAAAAGCAAGTACACTCACTGCAGAGGAGTACTCCTCACTACAGAGGAGCAGTAACACAGTAGGTCTGTCACCTGAAATCACAGGGCCCAGAAAGAAGCGCCACAGTACTTCTCAAGTGCTGGAAGAGAAGAGTATCCTTAAAGATGAGCTAAGAAAGAGTTTTTCAACTAGAAAGGAAATAATAAAAGAAGGAATCACGGAACATCTGGGAAGGAAGAAAAAACAATAAACAGCAGAAATGTAGGTACATGCCATAGGCTACACTTTTCTCATGAGTTTTGTATATTATATTTGAAGATTTCAATAAAAATTATTAACACCCATCTCATACTGAAGATGATGATATTTGTAAGTGGTGAAGGTCAAGGGACCTAAGTGGGGCAAAGTTTCACTCAATATATGGATACAGTAGAACGTGGCTATGGGTGACACACACCACGTATCCATATTGTAATACTCAGAGCAGTGACTACAAGTAAATACAGTGCACTCAAAAATCCTACAACTAAATCAAGATCAATACGTTATTCACCAAGATGCAGCCCAAAAGAGGTCCCAGCTGCCAGTCCTGCTGCTTGTCGGCACACCCTTGACCAGGATGAGTTGTGTTTTCGTAAGCATACTAAATTCCAAATGAAACAACAGGTTGTACCAGGTACATCTGTTGTTTTCCCCTCTCTCACTGCTTTGGGGACATTTCTCCTCCCCAGTCCCAGTCTTGGGGTTCTCATACCATCATCAGCCCAACAGGATGGCACATGGCCTAAGCCAGGCCAATGAGAGTCCTCCTCTGGGATTTTCCAACACAGAACAAGACAGAGTTCCTGGCACTCTTTGTGGAAGACGTTGGAGGATGTCAGCTCAGACTGGCACCTGGCCAGATGCACCCTAGGAAGAAGGTCTAAGTATAAAGGAAGGAACAGAGTGAAAGTCAGTGAGGCAGAGACAAGGGGTGGAGGGGACAGGGGAAGATAACCCCATTTAACTTTCCTGGATTCAACCGTCCCTGAGACCAGCACCTTCCCTGCCTTCTCTTTAGTTCCGTTAAGTGAATAAATACACATTCATTAACTTAAACTTTGGGTTTACAAGCCTGCCACCTGCAACCAAAAGTGTCCCTCTCACACAGCTGAGGAACCCTTAGAGGAGGAGGTGGGGGAGATGAAGTCAGCATGCAGCGCCGCCCCCCCCCCCATCCCACGGAAGGCAGCTGTGAGGTAGGCACAGAGCGCAGGTGTAGCCACGTGAGGACCCAGGAAGAAGTGGTAGCAGGCAGATTCAAGAAAAATTCCAAGTTCTACCGAGCCAGCCGTGAGCCCTCCATTTTTCTTTCTGGTATCCTCGGCCAGGACTCCGTGATGAGAAGCAAGAAGTGGGCACCAGGCTCAGACAGGGAGAGCTCCAGGATGGGAAATGGGGCTCGAAACGCTGAGAGACGGAAAAGTCCTGTGGGTGGCTGCTTCCTCCTGCTGCCTTGCCCCCAGTCCTCAGGCAGAGAGGGTGTCAGCGGTGGTGGGCACGGGCACCTGAAAGTCTCAGGGAGCAGAACCCTCTCTGCTCAGAAAAGCTGTGGCCCCACGTTGTTGCCGTGGGGTGCCGTCGAGTCACTGCCGACTCGTAGCGACCCCAGGAACAACAGAACGAAACCCTGCCCGGTCCGGCGCCAGCCTCACGGTCCTTGCTACACTTGAGCCTACGACTGCAGCCACCGTGTCAGTCCGTCTCTCTTCCTCCTTCTGGCAGACCCTCTACTCCACCAAGCATGACATCCTTCTCCAGGGACTGGTTCTTCCTGTTCACATGCCCAAGGTACAAGAGGCAAAACATCTTAGCTGTACTTCTTCCAAGACAGACGTGTTCATTCTTCGGGCGGGCCATAGTAGTTTCAGTATAGTGCGCCAACAGCATCCTTCAAAGGCATAACTTCTTCGGTCTTCCTTAGTCACTGTCCAGCTTACACATATATATGATGGTATTAAAACTACCGTGGCTTGTGTCAGGTGCACCTTAGTCATCAAGGTAACATCTTTGCTTTTTAACACTTTAAAGTGATCGTCTGCAGCAAATTTGCCCGACGTAATCTATCATTGGATTTCTTGACTGCTGCTTCCAGGGGTGCTGATTGTGGATCCAAGTGGAATGAAATCCTTGACAAGATCAGTATTTTCTCCATTTATGGTGAGACTGCTTATTGGTCCAGTTGTGAGGATTTCTCTTTTCTTTATGTTGTTTTCTTTATTGGGTCCCAAGAGATGTGGGCAAATCTTGAGTGCTTTCTCACTCTGTCCCCTGCCTCAGGGCCTCACACCTGGGTGCAGATGTAAGCAGTGCACAGCTAAACCTCAATGGTATACATCTGACTTTGTGACTGTGGAAGCCGATCTGCACCTGCACAGAACCCTGTCATCATTCCCAGGCACACCGAGGCTAGGGGGGGTGAAATGATTCCTAGGACACACAGATAACAAGTAATATGTGGGCCAGGAAGCCTCACCCCAGAGCTCTGGCCGGTTCCTGCTCCCTCCCCGGCCAGGTAAAGAGAGTTCATCAATCCGTGAGGAGGGGGCAGCAGCATCTTAGATTGCAAACTGTGCCTGAGCAAAGAGGGCTGCATGGCAGGTTTATGGGTACATGCAAAGCTCAGTCACAGCACTCCTGATGGTGGCCACAGTGACAGTGATGGGTGATGCTGGTGATGGTGATGGTGATGTGACGATCACGATAGTGATAGTGTTGGTGATGACGATGGTGATGGTGTTGGTGTTTGTATTGGTGATAATGATGGTGTTTGTGTTGGTGATGATGGAGTTGGTGGTGATGATGGTGACAGTGATGATGTTGGTGATGAAGATGATGGTGATGTTGGTGGTGATGACGGTAATGATGACGATGGTGTTGGTGATGGTACTAGTGATGATGATGACGGTGGTGATGACAGTGATTGTGTTGGTGATGATAATGGTGATGGTGATGGTGGTGATGATGACAGCAATGGCAGTGATAGTGTTGGTGATGGTACTACTGATGATGATGATGGTGATGACAGTGATTGTGTTGGTGATGATGACGGTGATGATAATGGTGATGGTGATGGTGGTGATGATGATGGTAATGATGACAGTGATTGCGATGGTGATGGTACTAGCGATGATGATCATGGTGACTGTGTTGGTGATGACGACGGTGATGATAACAGTGATGGTGATGGTGGTGATGGTGATGGTGATGGTGTTGGTAGTGATGGTGGCAGAGATGGTACTAGCAATGATGATGATGGTGATGATAGTGTTGCGATGGTGATGGTGATGGTGATGGTGATGGTGTTGGTAATGGTGATAGGGATGGTGTTGGTGATGATGATTGTTCTGGTTCCCTAGTGCTGCTCCGACATGAATATACCACAAATGGGATGGTCTTAACAAACAGGAGTTATTTTCTTACAGTTCAGGAGGCTAGAAGTCCAAGTTCAAAGTGCCAGGCTCGAGGGTCTGGGAGAAAGCTGCTCAGCCTTGGGCTTTAGCTCTGCCTCTGGCTCCCGGCCCACTGAAGCTAGAGGCATCTCTTCCATCAGGCAGCTCCTGGCTGCTGAGGCTAACAAGCCCAAGGCTGACAAATAAAATGGCACAGTCCTGATGATACCAAGCCACACAGCAGGCCATTAATTTAAGTCCATTTTAAGTCCCCAGGTCGGCAGAGTATGGCAGGCTGCTAAACAATGACACGGCTACATGCAGGGTCCAAGCATGCCATAAACTAGAGACCATTCCCCAAGGCTTCTGCTTATATACAGGAAGCAGACCACATTCCTAAGCAGCTACTCACCTGCTCACAGTAGATTCCACCATGGAGTTGATGACCAGTCTCATCATGGGGAATACTACACCCAGCTGCCCAGCCACTGAACCAGGCCCAGCCAAGCTGACACACAAACTGAACTACCACAATGCTGATGGTAATGACAGTGATTGTGTTGGTGACAGTGATGGTGATGATACTGGTGATGACAGTCATGGTGACAATAACATAGATAGCAATCATGCACAGCATGGGCAACCAGGAAAAACAGTGAAACCCCATGTATGATTCCTGATATATGATAAGCCTGCAGTAAGTCTCAGCTATTATGACCCATGATACTATCTCTCTAAGCTTCTGGCTCTAAATCTGAGCAAACTTAAGTAGATTTGTGGGCATCTCTCAACATACGGCCTGTTTATTTAAGACCCTCCAGTGTGCAAACAGCAAAAACTCATTCCACGCTGACCAAGGTCAAACGAGGGCATCAGTCGCTCCTCTGAATTACAGAGCCTTCGCTTCCATGGCCAGGGACCAGGAGGCTCCAGGGCCGCCATCACCACACTGCTCTGTCTCCTCTGTGCGGCTGCACTGAAGGCACACTCACTCACTTGCACGCATGGCAGGAACTTCAGCAGCTCAGAGCTCCCAGCTCAGCAACCCAGGACAACGGGAGCTGCTCCTGCAGCACAAAGCCCAGCAGGGCTCTCACTGGCCCACCTAGCCACACAGCATCTCTTAGCCAACCACTCTGGCCGCAAGGATGTCAAGTCTCACCACAAAACCTGCCCCATGCCCATCCTGCCAGCAGATGGACTGAGTGAGGAGGGACAGGCCTTCTCCAAGGGGAGCACAGGTGCTTGTCACAGAGGATGAGACAGATGTTGGGCACACAGAACAACAGGTGACCATCATGCACCTGTGACATGGGAGCCCCAGGTTTGGACAAGCCTGCTTGTCAGGGTAACAGCTATTTGACTGGGATTTGTTGAGGGCTTACAATGCTTCCAAGAGGTTGGCAGTTCGAACCCACCCAGCAGTTCCACGGGAGGCAAGACCTGACAATCTGATTTCATAAAAAGTACAGCGTTGGGAACACTATGGGGCACGTCTACTCTGTCCTATAGGGTTACCATGAGTGGGAAGTAACTTGGTGGCACCCAACAACTACAATGTCCCAACTACGGGTCCCCTGATGAGCAGTGGACCCAGGGAAAGCTCGAGGAACTGGATTCTTTGCCAGTCCCGCAAAGAGGCTCAAGTGCACCCCGGCCTTAGAGGGAGAATACATCTTTGCATGTTTCCTCCATGACAAGAAAGAGTTAACGATGAGGGGGAAGGATGGCCAAGTCTGGGCAGCCCAATGGGAGGGAGCCCACCCACGACTGCACATGTTTAAGGAAGGCTTCCTGCAGGAGGGAAGGAAAGGCTGGGTGGCCTGGAGGCAAGGTATGCTGGGGGTGGGTCTGCTGGCCAAGAAGCCAGCAAACTGCTGGGTCAAAGTGTGGCCCCCCTGAGAGGCCTTGGGTTGAGTTCATTCTTGTGCACTGACATCATGGAGCATCTCCCAGAGGAGGGAGGAAATTACTTCCCCCAGGAACAGGAACACACATAAGATGATTCAGAAGGTGTCTCTGGAATTAGGCAGATCGCAGTGCCAGCAAGACTGAAAGTGGGGTGTGGGAGTGGGGTGTGGGTGAGTGAATATGTGTGTGTGTGTGTGTGTGTGTGTGTTAGGGGAAAAGGGCAAGTATGTGTGTCATGGGAAGAGCAGGAGGTGAGTGTGTGTGATATTGTATGAACGGGGGAAAAAGAGATGACAACACTTCAGTCTGTCTCAGTAACTAATCCTCCAACAACTGACTATAATGCTGCTGCTGTTGGGTGCCACTGAGTTGATGCCGACTCACAGTGACCCTACAGGACAGAGGAGAACAGCCCCATAGGGTTTCCAAGGCTGTCATCTTTCCGGAAGCAGACGGCCAGGTCTTTTGCCCCCCAGAGTTGCTGGTGGGTTCAAATCGCCTACCTTTTGGTTAGCAGGCAAGCACTTAACCACTGCACCACCACAGCTCTTTGGGAAAAATGTTAGCCTTGTGCTAATGGGAAACAGCAGGCAGGGTGCTAAGGGTCATCCAGATCTTATCCCCTCTGTCCTCAGAGAAGCCGCCTGAGGTATGGGTCACAGTGGTTGACACTTTACAGATGAAAGGAGTGCAGTTTGGAGAAGCTAACTGACACACCAAGCACTGCACCTCGGGGACCGGATCCCCAATCTGTCTGCTTCCAACACAGCCAGCGTCCTGTGGCCTCTCCTTCCTGACTAAGGACCGTTCTACATCCTTCTGAACATACCATCCAGGGACAGGAGAATCACTGAGCCCAAAGAGAACAATCCTCCAGGCCTCAGGTACAAACTGAAACGCTGGGCCAGGTCCACCTGCCACATGTACTTTGTTTGGCCTTATATGGGTTTGTGAGGAAAAAAAAAGAAAGATAGATTTGATAGCTTAGGCACTTCATCACCATGATCCCCTATCTCTTTATAGCCCCAAATTACAATAATCTGTTACCTACCCTTCACCATGGACATTTGAGTCCTTGACCAAGTGTTAAACCCAACCCAGTCCACTGCCATTGAGTCTGTTCTGCCTCATAGGGTTTCCGAGACTATAGATCTTTATGGAAGTAGATGGCCTCATCTCCCTCCCACAGAGTGGCTGGTGGGTTTGAACTGCTGACCTTCTGGCTAGCAGCCAAAGGTCTTACACTGTGCCACCAGAACTCCTTGACCAACCTTATCATACCACTGTAATTATCAGACAGGCTCTTAGTATTAAGTGAGCTGAAATAATTCCCTGTAACTTCGCCCACCTTGATATAGTTCCACGCTCTGAGCACAGAAGTTAGCAAATCCACCTTTGCCAGGGTTTGATGTGGTGATGTTGATGATGGTGGAAATGACAATGGTGGCAAGAATGAGGAGGAGGATGGTTAGGTAGACAGAGAGAACGGAGATGATGACGGTAAGGTGGTGATACTGGAAAGGACAGTAACAGGATGGCAATGACAATGGTGATGGTGAAGGTGAGGAGGAGAATGGTGGTGATGGTGGTGATGATGGTGATAGTGGTGGTGATGGTGCAGGTGATGGTGGTGATGGTGACGGTGAGGATGGTGGTGATGTGAGGATGGTGGTGATGGTGGTGGTGGTGGTGATGGTGGTGATGATGATGGTGGTGATGGTGATGGTGAGGATGGTGGTGATGGTGATAGTGAGGAGGAGGATGGTGGTGATGGTGACGATGGTGGTGATGATGGTGATGGTGACGATGGTGGTGGTGATGGTGCAGATGATGGTGGTGACGGTGAGGATGGTGGTGATGGTGAGGAGGAGGATGGTGGTGATGTGAGGATGGTGGTGATGATGGTGATGGTGGTGGTGGTGGTGGTGATGGTGCAGATGATGGTGGTGATGGTGAGGATGGTGGTGATGGTGATAGGAGGAGGATGGTGGTGATGGTGAGGATGGTGAAGATGATGGTGGTGATGGTGAGGATGGTGATGGTGGTGATGGTGAGAATGGTGGTGATGGTGAAAATGATGATGATGATGGTGAGAATGGTGGTGATGGTGATGATGGTGGTGAGAATGGTGATGATGGTGATGATGGTGATGACGAGGAGGAGGATGATGAAGAAGAGGAAGATGGTGGTGATGATAACAGGGAAGATGGTGATAGTGAAGAAGATGATGGTGATGATTATGATGAAGATGATAAAGATAATTATGGTGAGGATAACAACAATGAGGATGGTGATGGAGAGGATGACTGAGGTGGTGGTGGTGAGGATGATGATGGTGATGATGGTAGTGTATCCATCACCGAAGTGGAACCACTATGAGTGACATAGAAGGGACTTCTTACAGGGACTGGACGTTCCCCCATCATGGAACTGGCTGAGCAGTCTGGGGAAGGCTGTAGGCTCAGTTTGGCATTGGGCCTGAATCAGCAGGAAGGGAAGATGTATGTGAGTGGGGGGGAGCCCATGTGCTCTTGTTTCCAGTCATTACCATCCTACGGGCTGATAGGGTTTTCATCCATATTTTACACAGAAGCAACTTGACAGTGAATGTTCGAGCTGGGAGTTCACCATGGACACACCTGCCGCTAGGCAACCCCACACAACTAGTATTCGCTCCTAAGCCTGGCCCAGAAGAAAGAAACGGGGGTGCTTTTACTCTTGCCCATGCAGCCCTTCTGCCGGCGTGGGGGACCGGTGAGTCCTGTGACACCTCTGCCCCAAAATCAAGGCTGCTGCTGTGGTAACAAGTCTACTCAGTACTAATGACAGCCTCAACCTTCCTACCTGGTTCACTGACCGCTTAGCAAACATCCCTTCGGTTTTGATGCTCCACCACTAGAGCTCTCTGAGGAAGAGACTGTCTGAAGCGTCTGCTGGCCAATGAAATCCCCTGGCCTCTGCGGAGCCATTTAGGGTGACTCAGGCCCCAGCATCGGTACTCAGGGCTGGAAGGTGGGCGTGGCCCATTATCAGATAAAGGTCCCAGAGAAGGAAGCTGCTGTCTTCCATGCGACCCACATACCAAGAGAGAACCACCGACAGGCCACACGTACTCCAGCCGCCTCTGAACCCTCTCCATAGTCTAGGGCAGTCCTGCTCAGTAAGGGCATTTCAGCTCACAGGAAACTGAAATGGCCCTGGGTGGTGCGGACCGTCAACGCACCCCACTGCTGGGGGAGAAAAAAAGTCTGCAGGTTCAAGACCACCAGAAGCCCCTGGGAAGAAAGGCCTGAAGATGCGCTTCTGAAAACTCGGCCACTGAAAATGCCGTGGGGCACTTGTCACTCTGACACTCAAGGGTCCGACAGCGGTCCAGGCCCACGCACCAGCAGCTGGGTTTGTCTGCCTTACGAGGGCACACGCAGGAGCACGTGCGTGCCCTTGTGTGCGTGCACAAATCCAACCTGTGCCCTCCATTTTCCCTTCTGTTTCCGCCCAGGAGGGCGGGTGGGTGGGGAGGTGACATGCAAGGTTGGAGGATAATATGCCCAAGAATGCAGAGCGCAAACGTTTTAAAACGCCACGGAGAGCCTGCGCACTGATTAGAGCCCTTTGTGTGGTCAACAGAAAGGAGGGCTCACAGAGCGGCCGGAGACAATGTCTGCTCTGTTCGGAGCCACGAACCAGATGCCAGCGTTTCCCTGACTTTACAGCGTGTTCCTGGCCCACTCCAGCAAAGGAGACTGATTAAAATGGGGCCCCCCGGCACCGCCCGCTGACACGCCTCCCAGAACGTGGTGGAGGACAGGCGCGCCGGCGCTGGGGGTACGCGTCCGACCCTGCGGGGATGCGCCCGGCCGGGCGCGCGCACACGGGGCTGAGAGCCCTTCCGCTCTCCTGGACCTGATGCCTCGGTCTCTGGAGCCAGAAGCCCCCCAGCCGGAGAGAAGGCGGTGCTCCCCCAAGTCCAGGTTTACATGCAGCGGCGACCTGGGTGAAACCAAACCAAGCAGGCACTGAGCTTCACTGCGAGATTCGCTGGGTGGTCCGCACTAGAGGCCAAGACTTGCCAATCGTACATTTAAGCGGGGGTTACTCAAGTCGGGGTACAAAAGCACCTCCCGGATTTCCGAGGCCCCACCCCACCCCGCAACCCGTGAGGTGGGCATGGAGTTACCGCCTGGGGCTGCAGCGAGGCAGCTGGGGCAAGGTCTCTCTTATGGGAGGGAGCTGGAAGGCGGGCTGGAAAATAGAAGTGTTCACCGAGCTGAGGAGGAAGGGAAGGCTTGGAATGACAGAGCTGGAGGGGCCTTCAGGCCTGTCCATGTCCATGAAGTGAGGGGCGGGGAGGAGGGCTGATGGAATGAGCCAGGCCTGGCCACCCAAGGTGCTAGAGGTTCAGCTGGGCTGACCCCCGACCCTGAGCCAGGTGGGGGAGAGTTGGGAAGGAGGCAACATTCCTGGAAATAGCTGCTCAGTGTCCTTGCAGGGACAACCCTGTGCAGATGGGGAATAGCAATTGTCTTTCCAGGAAAGAGGAGCCCGAGTGGTGCAGGCTTAATCACACAGCTGCTAACTGAAAGGTTGGCAGTTCAAATCCACCAGCTGTGGCACAAAGGTGAGGCAGTCTTTCGGTAAAGACGGCTGTGAGTCAGAATCTACCCGACTGCCCTGGGTCTGGGTTCCATGGAAACCCTGTGAGATGAGGTGACCTTCTGAGCCACTGTGATTGCAGCTCCCCCATTTACTCCACAAGACTTGGAATGGCTCCATGTTGTGTCTGATGTGGGCCACTGTTCCATGTGTGGGATGTCTGCTGAGTTCCCACCCCATCCCCATCCCCGCCAATGACGGTGTGGATAGCCTTGTGCTGGCCTGCAGGGATTCTGACCACAGGCAGCTATAACGTGCCCCTCCAGGAGTTCCCCTCTAGCTGAGGAGGGGATGTTGAGGGGTAATTAGAAGGGGGTTGGTGAGTGTGACAACCGCCTCTTTCCCAGACTGGCAGCTCCCTGAGGACGCAGGCGACAGGTGCCCTCCTCCCTCCACAAGCTCAACACTGAGCACAGAACTGACAGTAAGTAACCCACAGGACTCGCTTGGTGACTGGCTGTTGATAAGACTGGCTGGCTGGTAGACTGGTTGCCTGGGGACTAGACTGATTGGTTGGTAGAGTGGTTGCTTGGTTGACCAAGTACTGATTGGTTGTTACTGGTTGGGTGGTGGCTGTTCACTAGTTGATCAGTCAAATGGCTGACTGAAAATGAATACCAGCTCTAAACTAGCATGGTCCCCTGGAGAGAGCATGAGTCCACTCCCAACCCTGCCACTGTGGAGCTTGGGGGTCCTTGAGAAAACCACCACCATGTGCACTTCCAAGCCACAACTTCCTTGTCAGTGAAATGGCAACCGTGGTCCCTACTCTGCGGTAACGTAGGAAGGTGGCGAGCCCAGCAGGGCACTCAGCAGAGGACAGAGGTTATTCTCAGTCCCCGACTTGGAGGTGGACGGCTAGATTCTGCCACTCGCAGATACCTTTCCTGAGCCCCCAGCATGATGTCCCTCCTGAGATTTTGTACACCATCTTCACACAGGCCCAGGAGCCTCAAGAAAGAAGCAGGACTCCTCATGACGTTGGCATGGAAACAGCCCAACTCTGCATGGCACAGAGTTCTGGAAGACGTTTCTGTAGCCTGGGGTGCAGGGCTCTCGTCCTGGTCATTTGGGATTAACAGCCAGCACCAAGCACAGGCATCTACTGAAAAGATAGCTCCCCAAGGTCAGCTCCACCTGACTTAAAAGCATCCAAACGCTTCACAGCTTGTAAGGCAGGCTCACATCTATCAGGCCACGTGACCACCACAGACCCCGGGAGGTAGGCAGAGTGCAGTCAGTCTCCCCATTTCCATACGAGAAATTGAGGCTCTGAGAAGTCGAGCCCACGGCACAGACCCTGTGCCTCTCTGCTGCCGGGGCACAGGTCTGACGGCTAAAAGCACGAAGACATATGAAGGAGCTTCCATTGGTCCCAGAACATCTGAGGCCGATGTCTGACAGCCCGAAATCTGAGATGGGAGCCGCTGTCAACAGTCCCTCTAAGGAAAAGCCACTACCCAAACACAGCAATGCTCTAAACCGTACTACTTCTTTAAATTCCCATGAAATCCCTAAGAGCTATAAATGAAAAGTAAACTCTCAGAATTAATATTAAATCAAACATCATATGATTCTGAAAAATACCAGGGTGGCACATTGCCAGCAAAAACAAAACCAGCTCAGCTCCCACCACGTGTGGTGCAACCTGTGCCTGACCCTGTCTCTCCAAGACTCTGGGCACAGGCACGGCTCCCCCTCTCCTCGCCGTGGCCAGTTCCCGTGCGCACCAAAGGTGTACCGGGTACGGGTGCTCTCGCTGTCCCACATGGGGCCTAGCAGATTAGACCCCGCCAAGGAGGAAATTCATGACTGAAAGATCACACACAAAATGCAGGAGAGAAACAAAGAGGTGGCCGACCAAGGAGAGTTAAAGAGACCAGAAGATAAAACAGGAAACTGCAACGGCCATTTAACAAGCGGTCCTAAGAAAGGAACAGAATGAGAGAGGGGCACTTCTAGATGACATTATGCCAAAGGACTTTCCAAAATCAAATAAGGACACAAGTATTCAGACTGAGGGACCATTGTGCATCACACGCAGCTTGGGATTAACTGATTTGGTTGGTTCATTGATTGACTGACTGATTGGTAGACTTGAATGAGGCCCCATGTGTGAAAATGTTCTCTTAGCATAAAAGCAAGGAGTGTGTTCTTGACTCAGCTTGTGCCCAAGTTCATCTCCCAGAGGGTGAAAAATGATCTAATGCTTTGAAAACCATTCAGGCCAACAAGCACGAACTGCTTGTAGAAATGGTAATACAGAAATTCCATTATAAATTAAGAAAACAGAATTAGATCCCTACCTCACCTCATAGCTACAAACAAAGTCCCGGTAGATTAAATAACTAATATGAAAAGCAAGACGCTAAAATGTTGGGAAGAAAATCTAAGAGAATGTCCTTAGGAATCCTGAGGCTTTCTCAAACAAGAGGCAAAGGCACAAATCATGAAGGCCAAGGTGATAAATGTAGATCATTAAAGTTAAAAATGGGAACTCTGGTAGCATAGTGCCTAAGGTACTTAACTGCTAACCAGAAGGCTGGTGGTTCAAACCCACCAGCCACTCCTCGGAAGGAAGAAGATGAGGCAATCTACTTCCGTAGTGATACTGCCTTGGAAACCCAAGGAGGGGTCACTATGAGTCGTGTCCAACTCGACGGCACATAACAACAACAACAAAGTTAAAAACTTCTGATTACCAAATGACACCATTAAAAAAGTTGAAAGACAACGCAGAGACTATGAGAAGATGTTTGCAGCCTGTATAATCTACAACAGTATCCAAAATTGACAAACATATTAAGGAAAAGACAACCCAGGAGAGAAAGAAACAAAAGATATAAACAAACAGGCCAGTCCCCAGAAAACCAACACAAATGACAGGTGGGTGTGGGTGGATGGGTGGAGGGATGGACGGATGGAGATGACAGACAGACAACAGGTAGGTAGGTAGGTAAACAGGTAGACAAACTCTGTGTGTGTGTGTATGTGTGTGTGTGTCTTCCACAATGTTGTTGTTGTTGTTGTTATGTGCCGTCCTTGGACCTGAGATCCCTACACTGGACCTCCTCGGCAGAGACGACCTGACAGAGAAATTAAGAGGCATGAGACAAAAAAAAAAAAAGAGGCATGAGACAGAGTGGCGACCTTGCCGGCCCGCAGAGCGAAAAAGCATCCTTGGGCAGGAGGCTTGCTGGCAGCGTGGGGTGCACCTT